AAAAAACAACAATGCCAAAAGAAAACAAATTGACTTCCCTCTAACCCCTTCCTTGGTTCTATTGTTTATCCAGACACTGAATGTCCATTGTTAAATTTGTAATATATTTAAATCACCCATTATCCATTCATGATGGTTAAAGTGTAGCAAGTCAATAGAAAGTTGCTAATACTACACACCAGGCTTCTCCAAGTTGGTGCCCTCCAGATGTTTGGGAACGCGACTGCCGGCAACCTGTTAGCTTGGATGTTGCCGTTCAAAACATCTGGAAGGCACCAACTTGGAGAAGTCTGGTATGTAGTATTAGCAACTTTCTACTGGCTTGCTACACTTTAAGCAGCAGCCCCTCGCATGGTGAATGCTTTCGTCCTAACATGGAGATGGCAATGGGGAAAGTGGCGTCAAGTGGTAACAGGAGACAGGACAATAAAATAAAAGTTGGCAGCTCTGTACCATAAGAACACAAGAAGAGCCCAGCTGGAACAAGTCAGGGTTCTTCTCCTATTCTTACCAATCTTTACTTGGCCAAAATATTTTAGGCTAGATCTTTATATATGTGTGTTTCTTTCTGTGTGTGAGCACATGCTTATGTCACTCTGCTAATATTTAGCCTGAGGAATCTAGGTAAAACCCTGTATTTTGGCCCAGAAAGACATCTTGTTCTCCTCTTGTAGTTCACAGCTCAGGAAATGCTGAGCACATTTTTTTACATTAATTCTCACAGTTTGTCGTGGGTAGCAGCTAAACCCAAGAAGCTCTCTGCAGCGTACACAGATTCTGTGGCTGGCATTCATGGTCTTCAACATGGGCAAATTGATTCTTTCAAGGCTGAAAAACTGGAAAACCACTGGTTTCATTGGGTTCCTTGCATTGCAGCATCCAGTGAAGTGTAAATAAATTATCCCAGCAGCTGGTTTGAATGAGTGTTTCTTTGTATATGTTGTGTTTTTGTAGTATTTTCTTTTGGTTGTGTAGGATGAATTTTTCATCAGTGGATGAAAGAGGATCACCTAGTGCCCAGTTTATTACCTTTTAGGTGTTGGATTAAGACATTTTTATTCTCCCAGTCATTGTAATGCTCTGTCCTTTTAAAATACTGCATACTGCCAATACTATTTAAAATGCTGGGAGTTTTTTGTTTTTTTTTAACTTAGCTTGCGTATTGTGCTAATTATGTTATTTATTACTTTTAATTGGTTTATTGTGTTTTTCATTGTTTTGTTTCAAATCGTGCTGTAAATTGCCCTAGGATTAATATTGTGCAGGATGATAAATGAATACCATGAATGAATGAATGAATGAATGAATGAATGAATGAAAGAAATATTGGAAAATAAATACCTTCTTTTTATCATTTATTTCTCCACCTCTCTGTTGGGCATCATATTATTCCATATACTAAGTGACTGCAGTCACTAATATAGTTTTCTTTTTCAAACAGTGCCCCCATCTTTTTTTCTTTCCGTCTGAGAATGTAGAATTGTAAAGAATGTTTGATTTAGGACAGTGGGGATGTGGAGATCAGAGGTTGAAATTAAAGATGTAATGAATCAGTAAGATGTCTATGAGGAATGAAACAAGTCCAAATCTGCCCCAGAGAAGGTTTGCATTTTTAAAAAGAATTCAGCTAGAGAAGTCGGAGGTCTGGGGACTTATGGAATGAGGTTAATGTAGGTGTGAGTAGTTGAAATGACAAGAGCATTTGGAAAGTTTCCATAAATCTGCACTTTAAACAATTCTATTCCACTTTGTGGGAATAAGTGGGAATTGTGATAGAGAAGGTCCAGACTGATCTATTTTTGAATCAGATACCTGCTTTGCAACAATCAGTCCTGCTACTTTGTTCAGGAACCATCTATTTTCTTAATAATAGTTGTAAAAATAAAATACAAAACTGACCCCATTCCCCTGGTTTTGGTATAGTTTGTTAGTCTACACCACTCTGAATTTTGAAGGCATTGTTTTCTTTGTTCTTTATTTTATATCCTGTGATTTGGGGTTTCCCCCCTTTTTATTGCAAAAGGGAAAAATACATAAAAGACCATAGGAAAAAGATATATGCAGATAGCAATGGCATACATAATACAATATACAGTGGTGCCTCGCAAGACGAAATTAATCCGTTCCGCGAGTCTCTTCATTTTGCGGTTTTTTCGTCTTGCGAAGCATGGCTATTAGCGGCTTAGCGGCTTAGCAGCTATTAGCGGCTTAGCGGCTATTAACGGCTTAGCGGCTTTAAGAAAAAGGAAACAAACTCGCAAGACGTTTCGTCTTGCGAAGCAAGCCCATAGGGAAATTCGTCTTGCGGAACGACTCAAAAAACGCAAAACCCTTTCGTCTAGCGAGTTTTTCGTCTTGCGAGGCATTCGTCTTGCGGGGCACCACTGTAGTTAAATAAGAATCTTGATACAAAAATATAATATGATGATTCTAATAATAATTACACAGATGTAACTAGTATTCTGACCAATCTGGACTCAAATATCCTATTCCAAGTTGTTACCATCTAAGCTAAACACAGCTCACCAGCAACAAAAATGTCACATTTTTCTTGCATTCCTGGTACTGCCAAAGTGAGAGAGAAGGGGGAGGGTTTTTCGTTCTTGTTTTTTTAAGCGGGGTGGATTTTCATGCATCTGGCGGGCTGGAAATAATATGTTTTTGAGTTTTTAGGTCACTAGTTGTGAAAGTCTTATTTAAAACATTGAACTATTTATGCCCAAATAATAGGTATTATGACGATGGTTAGATTGTTTTGTTTTTATCCCAGAATCTAGTATATTCATAATACCTATAAAAAGGCTTTCTAATTATTAGAACTTTTTATATTCTCTCCACCCTCCTACAAGATAGACTGGGATAAGAGATGGTCACCTCTAAAGAGACCCTGTGATCTTCAAGGCAATCTTCAGCCTAGACCTTCCATGGCCAAAACCAGCAATCTTTCAGTTCAGTCGCTCTGCCTGACTTCTTGAAAGTTACAGTCAATCCCTCTTCAAGCAATTAAGGCAGAGATAGCTCTCATTGTTTGTACGAAAATCACGTGTTATGCAGCTGTACATACAGGGTCCCATCGCTTATTGCCAATAACCAGAAATAACTTTTATTATCAAGTGCAGTACTTTTCACTGGAGTCATATTACACATTCAGCTAAGAAATCAAGTGATGTATACACATTCTGGTGCACTCTTGTCAGTCATATCATCAGGTGTTCCCTGAAGGCAGAATATGCTGGCTGGGGCTCATGGGATTTGTGATCTCCAGCTGTTTTGGACTATACCGGGGCAGGGCGGGGCAGCCACGACCGTTTCCGGCTGCTAACACAACAGTATTGTGGCACCCTAAAGACTAACAGGTTATTATGGCATAAGTTTTTGTGGCCTGAAGTCAACAGATCACAATACTTCTCCCTCGTTCTCTTTTTGTAAATATACCTGCCGGCAAAGGACAATAGCACTTCATGCATCTCCAGTCCATGGAAAACATATGCCTTAATAAATCTTAACATCCCAGTGCTCCTCTTTCTTCCTCTTTTCTTCATGTTCTTTATTGTTTCTGCACCTGGTTCTTGGGGAGGGTTTCTTATGAGCATAAAGAGCTTTACTCAATTAGATAACAGAGACAAATAATGGATTGTTTCGGACACCATCTTACACTTGGAAGAAGCGCTTAAGAGTGTCAGCAACCATGGTTTCAGCCCTCCCTGAATTTTCTTCTTCCCAGAACGGCTCCAGTGAAAATTCAGTTACAGATCTGCATTTGAAATAAGAGCTGAATGTGTTTACTTGGCAAATCAGATGAGACCAGGATCTCTCAGACCCTCCTGTTTGCTACTCAAGCATGTACACTGATTGGGATATACTTATTTTTTAATAATGACAACAACATCAATAATGAGTAGTAATAATAGTAGTTTCTCTTTCTAACCACAAGGGCCCGCAACAACGTTTACAATGTCAAAACATACAAAATATAAAATAAAACAATGATTTGGATTTTTAAACGGTCACTTCAGATGGAACAAAATCATTAGTAAACAAAATTGGAAACCTATCAAAAGCCATGTGAAATGGGTTTTTTTTACAGCTTTTTAAAATTTATACAAGGTTGGGGCTAGCAATTGGGGGATGCTACAGAGAAGGCACTCCTCTTGGTGGTCGGACATACAGCAGGGCCACTGAGGACTGTCATAATTTTTGGACAGGCTATATAATAAATGGGCTATAATATATTTATGTGTCCTGCTCTCAGCGTTTGAAGGGCCCCCTACCCAGAGGCCTCGGAATAGTAGCAGAAACCTTTGGGGTTCTCTTGCTCCTCAGCTGCTTACCAGCAGTAATCACTGGATCTTGTCTAGTTTCGGGGCTGGTTGGTGGAACTGCTTTTCGATCAGTTTCTCCCTGCCTAAATGAAGTCCATTAAACGGTCTGTTCCCTCTCGGTGTGGCAACCCAGTCCTCTTCACCTGCCAACACAACTTGGTCTATGCATCCTGCCCTAAGGATCCTCTAGGAATCCTACCCTACTAGCATCATGCCTTTTCCAATGACTGTCTTTTTTTTTACGGGGGGCACTTTATTTGAAGGGCTGTCTGGTTGAAGTTCTGCTTATATGTAAAGAACCCTATACATAAAGAAATGGAAGGCACTGGCCTTGAAGTTGCCCATCAGCAGGCTGAGGAGGCCTAGTGGTTGCCTGGTCAAAGGCTCCCTTTCTACTGTGAGGTCTATTGTATTTCTATGTAATTATAGGAATTATTCCTGAAGTTGTGTGTGTGTGTGTGTGTGTGTGTGCAGCATCCTATCTGAATCTTATGCAAATTTGTGTCCTCCTCTGCCCCCATTTTTTTGATGTGTAAATGGCCTCACTTATTTACAACCACCCCATCAGTGGTTGGAACACATTATGGAACACATGAGGACCACATGAGCTCAATATTGTCTACTCTGATTGGCAGTCGCTCCCTAGTGCATCAGGCGGGAGTCTCTCCCATCCCTACCTGGAGATGCTGGGGTTTGAACCTGGGACATTCTGCGTGCAAAGCAGATGTTCTTCCACTGAGTTATGACCCTTCCTCATTGGTGATTTCTTTCATCTCAATAAAGTTGGCTATTCCTTTCATTTCAGTAAAGTACCTCCTCAGGCGGCCTGTTTGGTCAGTTCCAATAAATCGCATGGATTATTTTTAGCCTAATATTTGTTGGACTCCTGAGCAAAATTGTTTTGATTGTAATTGTAATTGTAAAAGGAGAAATAAAATAAAATAAATGGAAGTGTTGGCTGGCTGGAAACACAGCTCTCCTCAGCAGAGAGAGAGAGAGAGAGAGAGAGAGAGAGAGAGATGCTTACTGTGCCAGCGCAAGCTATTATAGCAAGATCTTTTAAAAAATAAAATAAGGGCACTGTCCTTTTAAATCTGATCTCTCAAACTTTACTGGATATTTTACAGAGCCTGGTTTCATTTATAGTGGAGCCAGACTTGCTGTGTGAGTCGTTCGCATGCTGGAATTAGTCTTAAGCTTGCTTCTGTGGCGTTGCCAAATTCCATGTTTGTGTTTTATTTAGAATTCTTTTCACGGCCAGTCGAATCTGTTCAGGCATACACAGGCGGTGTTGCACCCCACAGAGAAAATAAGCAAGCTTGCGTTTTCTTTGGCATAGGCCTTGGCCACAAAAGACTGCGGTCTAAAAAACATTTTTTTCCTTAAAAAAAAAAAGCTATTTTAACCCATAACAGATGTATAAAGTAGGCACAAGCATGCCAGTTTCCTTAGTTTTAATTAAAAAATAATTATGGCTTTAATGGGATGCTAGTGACAAATTTGGATGAATGGTGGGTGACAGTATCTCCAGGCTCCCTTCAAGTTTATAAATTAGTGTATTTCTCTTGGCTGATGAAACAGATGAAATTAAGAAAAGGGAGCAGTCATATATCCCCCCCCCCGCTCCAAAGACACACTTATTAAAGATAAAATAAAATATACTGAAATAATAGAACACCATTGGCCTGAAGCATAATTGGGTTGGGGTTGAACTTTGCTTCTGCAAGACACCTGCAAAGGCATCCTTTGTGATTTTGCAGTAGCCACTCTGCCAAATCTTTGTGGTTTACAGCACCAGATAGCTTTATTTATAGCCACATAGTCAGCAGGAGCGTTTCATTCACAGAATTCTTAAAAATAGGAACTCATACCTGCACTGCTATTACCATTGCTAGCAGAACTGCTACTTTTATGACCTCATGGGCTGACTACTATGAAACATTCTGTGTAGGGTTCCCCATGACTTGGGAGGGGGAATACAGATGACTTCCTCCATGCATTTTTTTTGGGGGGGGTATTCCTTACCACCACTTATGACCACCCTGTAAGTGAAGGTCCCCTCATGAATGTGTGTGGAACATCTCATCAGGAATGGTCATCAGGATTTCCCCTTTCACAAATACACATGCAGCTTGTGTATTTTAGCTTGTTGTTAGTGTGTTGGGGTCTGACTAGCCCATGCAGCATGGCAACGTGTCTCATGTGCTGTTGACATGTCAGAAGGAACACATTGCACCAGTGTTCCTGCTATCTCCTGCTTGCAGTCGAAGGTGCCTTTTCCTTCAACTTGCCTGACATGCTAAGGCTTTGGGAACACAGGAAGCTGCCAGTATGAGTCATAACATTGGGTCATCTAGTTCATTACTGATTGACAGCGACTCTTTTAGCAGTTCAGATAGGATTTTCTCCCAGTCCTACCTGGAGATGCTGGGATTGAACCAGGTACCTTCTGAATGCAAAGCAATTACTCTGCCACTGAGGTATCTGCAGCCACTCCCTGAAAAAAAAAAAACAGTTGTGCCAACTATGTGATAGATACTTGACTGATCACCGGGTTGGCAAAACTCCTTGCACTGTGGTTCTCAAGCGTCCGACAGCGAGCTGGCTGTCGGGTGCTTGGGAAGCACTTTGACAGGTGGGTGGTACAATGTACTTGCCCATCATCTGATGTCATCATGTGGCACTATCCTTAGGGTGACGCTGTCTTTTCTAAGATAGCATTGGCCAAGAGTAGATGTTTTCAAACTGTTCCCAAGAGCCATTTGAAAAGCCTTAGGGGTTCTTCAGTGATAAACTGAATTATGGCAGGGAAACTTATCTGACGTTACTAATCTTCCCTGGAAACATACAACTACAGGGGTCTGTTGGGTCCATGCAGGGCAATGGTTAGGCCAAACAGGTCTGGTTGGTAGTCTATATGTGCTGAGAATACGCCCTATACAAGTGGCTCCCAACTGGTCCACGGACCTCAGGGGGGTCTGTGGCACATACCCGTCAACTGTCTGGTACATCCCATTTTAGGGGGCCATGATCTCATGTAAGCATGGCGCCCCAAAATGCCCAAGATGGCGGCTGGACTGTGGTGCTCCAAAATGTGCATTTCTGGACGCCGTCCTCTCTTGCAGGTCATGTGACTTGCACGGGACTGCAGCCTGGTTATGAGCTGGGACATGTTGGAGGGTATGGTGGCACCATTCACGTAACCAAAACTACCACAGAGATACCAACATTTTCAGAAGTAGGGGATCCATGGCTTGGCTTTTGCGAAACTGGGGGGGTCGCAGTGGGAACCAATCCCCTAGAACCTACGTAAGACTTTTGTGTGGCATGCAGGGATTCCTTGGCAAACCAACGGCTGAGAGGGCTAATTGCTTACTGTAGGAAAGTTGAGAAACACTGTGGACTTAGGAGCCTGCGCACAATGTAAGCATTCAGCAAGCACATTCGCTCTCCCCCCTCACTGTAAAAGGGAACGGCAGAGGAGGGTGGGTACAGCTTAAATCCTTTTTTTTTACTTCAAGTGGCGAAAAGGGTATAGCTAGTCCTCATTACCATGGTGACCAACTGGAAGGAGAAGCCACCTAAGTTCTAAGACGCTCGAATCCAAGCCAAAATGCTGGATGCCTGCTGAGGAAAAAGGACAGTTTGTAGTGATTAGCAAACTTTCTGTGCGGAATATCAGAGAATCGGTTTGACCGATGTCAATGTGCTGCTCTGATGTCTGGCTGGAATATGCCAAACATCTGGGTTTTCCTGCTGGGAACGTTCTAAGCAGGAGAGATGAGTGTTCGAAACATGCCCTTGTGGGTGGATTGGGGAAGGCTATTCTGCTTTGCATTACGCGTGAGTCACGCTATCTTCAGTGCTACCATTCTTATGAGTAAGCCACAGGCTCTGGCTTCTGTGGCCGAGGTCTTTTTGGCCCAGCTATTACAGTTTAGTGTTGCAATCTTCCCATGACATGAGCAAACTTACTGGGGTTCACGGGTTTCAGATCATGTCGGCGGAAAGCAATTACTATTAGAGCAGGTGCGCGTTTATGTCGTGTTTCTATTTTCTTTTCCTTTGGTCTTCCAAGTAATTTTCAGCCTTTAAATTGGCTCTTGATGGAAATGACTCTCCATTTGGCATTCAAGCTTAATTCCACTTTTGATGAAATCAATTAAACTCAGGCCCCTGATTTCAACGAGTATCAGAATTGCGGGCCTCTCTCTTTTGCTGCTGCCATGTTACCCGGTGACAGTAGCTAGCCACGTCAAAGCAAGGAAAACCCAGCATTGTCTCAAATAAAACTTTTACTGTAGGAGTTCGTTAGAGCGTCGTTTCCCAATTAGTTCTTTCCACTTCAATTCTGAACAGCACCCTTTTCTGTTTGCTGGCACCCACTATATCCATTGCCTAAAATCATGCCAATCCATTTCCCCCTAAATGCTGAATTATGTACATTTAGCTATACACAACAAGGAGAGAGAAAATTTGTTTTGCTTGTGAACAGCGCAACTCTGAAAGCACAGTTCCAAACTCCTTATCTTCCAACATCAATACCATGAGTCCTACAAACACAGAGCACGTTCCTGGGATTTTTTATTTTTTTAATTTTTGAAGGGAAACATTGCATTGGTGTTAATCTATTTAACTACACCTTATTACTAAATATCAGTCCAGTAGGCTTTCTACAAAGAGCCCCTCTTCGCACTGATTGGAAGTGATTAGCCTTTGAAAGCATCACCTGAATGTTTCAATACTCTTAAAGTTCAATTAACTTTCTTTCTTTCTACATACATACATACATACATACATAAATACATACATACATACATACCACGAAAGCCTGTTGCTTCCCTGCTCCTGGACTTACTGATTTTTCTTTTTTTTAAAAAAAAAAAAAGTGGGGGAAAGATAGAGGCTAATTTGATTTGTTCTGATATGTCTCACATATCTAATTGCTGCTGTTGAGAATGATTAATGTCCAGCTGAAGAGTTTCCACATCTATAAATGAAAATTGAAAACAGATGTTACTTTGATGAAAGTGTCTTCCAGCCCTCATCAGCAGTGGCTGACAGCGCAGGCTGCTGAGATATAGCTATCTGTCAATAGATAGATATTTGGTGCCAGATACAGTTCGTACACACACTGACAGAGAGCCAAGGCAACAATTAATGATAATTTCATCCAGTGAGTTCTCTCTCCCCGCCACCACCAAAAAACCCTCCCCCCCGCTCTGTATTTGTGGGGGGTGGGATGTGAGCATTAATGCCTGGCTCAGCATTTTGCTAAAAAGATGTAATAGCTTAAAAATAACTTTAGACTTTTTGTCTAGTGCTTATCTGCCAAGATCTCTTGTTTAGCGCTCAGTCGTTCAGTTAGTTATCCTGGTCACCTGTTGATGGTTATATAGAGAGCTGCATGGATCATGACAACTTGGCTGAGAAAGATAATCCAAGTAGCCCTACCCCTGGTGGGATGCTGGGCTTTGATACTGATGGTGTATAAAAAAGAACTACAAAACAACACACCATCCTGGATATCTTGCCGCAAAGAAGTATGGTCCTTGTCTTCTGAATCAAGCCTTATGGCTTGATTTAATTTGCTCTCTCAAAAACTTCCTATCTGCTCCTGTTGCCTTTTGCTTGTTTATGCAACAGCCATTTCTCAAATTCGTTTTAGGTCTCCACTGTTGCAGAGAGAAAAACGTGAACATGCTGTCCCACGGTATAAAAACGGGAAACATTTGTAAATCCTGTTGGA